TGGCACCACTGCACTCCAGCTTGAGTGAAGAGTAAAACTCGTCTCAAAAAAAAAAAAAAAACGAAAAAACAAAAACCAGCCCAGGTTTCTCCATTTTCTCTGAGCAGCGAACCACAGGGGTTAGCAGGGACTGTACCTAGGTCGCTGGGGACTAGTAGACAATGCTCCTACACCACATTGTTTTCCATTATGGGTATAAATACAATTCAGTAACTGTAGGACCTCAATGTAAAGCGGACTGATATAATTCCTATGAAAGTTGTCCCAAACCATGAGGAATAAAGCATGTGGAGAAAGCCACAGCATTACGGCTGGCTGGCACATACTTTCAAATACTGTTATTCTATTCTACCTGAGATCTCTAGAGTCTCTTTGCTAAAAGAAACAGTAGGCTCTTTTCAGAGAAATTCTTTTTTTTTTTTTTTTTTGAGACGGAGTCTCACTCTGTCATCCAGGCTGGATTGTAGTGGTGTGATCTCAGCTCACTGCAACCTTCCCCTCCCAGTTTCAAACAATTCTCCTGCCTCAGCCTCCTGAGTAGTTGGGATTACAGGTGTGTGCCACCATGTCTGGCTAATTTTTGTTTGTTTGTTTGTTTGTTTTGAGACAGAGACTTGGCTCTGCCGCCCAGGCTAGAGTAGTGGCGTGATCTCAGCTCACTGAAACCTCCCCCTCCTGGGTTCAAGCGGTTCTCTGGCCTCAGCCTTCCAAGTAGCTGGAATTACAGGCATGTGCCACCACACCCAGTTAATTTCTGTATTTTTAGTAGAGGTGGGGTTTCACCATATTGGTCAGGCTGGTCTCGAACTCCTGACCTCATGATCTGCCCGCCTCGGCCTCCCAAGTGCTGGGATTACAGGCATAAGCCACCATGTCCTGCCTTTTTTTGTATTTTTAATAGAGACGGGGTTTCAGCATGTTGGCCAGGCTGGTCTCAAACTCCTGACCTCAGGTGATCCGCCCATTTCCACCTCCCAAAGTGCTGAGACTACAGGTGTGAGCCACCGCACCAGCCTGGAGTACAGTGGCATGATCTCAGGTCATGGCAACCTCCACCTCCCAGGTTCAAGTGATTCTCGTGCCTCAGCCTCCCAAGTAGCTAGAACTATAGGTGCGTGCCACTAATTTTTTTTTTTTTTTTTTTTTTTGTAGAGATGGAGTTTCACCATGTTAGCCAGGCTGGTCTTGAACTCCTGACCTCAGGTGATCCACCCACCTTGGCCTCCCAAAGTGCTGGGATTACAGGTGTGAGCCACTATGTCTGGCCAAAAATATCATTTCCAACATTGAACTTCATGCTTTTATGGGAAGTCAACTTAAGTCCCCTCTGAAAGCAAATGAAAAACAAAGGATTTTTAGCTAACTGAGGCAAGCAGTGACACAAATATTAATTTCCACAAATAGGTAGTGATGTTTTATTTCTTACTCTCTGTACCAAAAGTAGAGAAAAGAACAAATCCTAAATTGAGAAAGTAATCTTATATAGTCTTTCTACCACAAGCTTTTAAGTACTGAGCTACAAAAATTCCAGGGTCTGAGAGAAAAAAATCAGTCAAGAAATATTCATTTATCCTTCCCAAACAAGATCTCTGACCTTCAGCTAAATATGAAAGATTGACTTTTTTTATTTCAAAAAAAAAATAGGAGGTACCCTCACATTTAAGGAAGACAGATGCTTAGGTAGTCTGGCTTTCAGAATCTTCAGGACCAAGTAGTACAAGGTATTTCATTTGAAGGGGATGGTTACTGAAGATTAGAGACTGAAATGCACTCTAGCAGCCAAAGCTCTTGCTAGAATCGGAACAGTTAAGTTGGCAGAAGTGTCTCTAAAGTTATTCTATGTTAGGGCCAAGTTAAGATCTCTCACAGCTTTTAAGAAGCAGATAGTATTGGCATCTGGGGAGAGGAGACCGGCTCCCTAGGGGCTGATACCCCCTGGGAGCCATGTGAAATGGCAACTCACTCAGCAGCATGCTGAACAAGCTCCTGAGTGAAACTGCTCCTGAGACTGGTCACGCTACAGAGGAAACTGCAGCTGGCAGTTGAGGCTTTAACGTATGGGATGCAGAGATGGAAGTAGTTCCTTGAAGGAAGCCAACCCCATGCTTCACAGAGGACTTAGTTTCTGGCACTTGGAAGGCAGTGTATAACAGTTTATAAGCACTGAGAATGATCCAAAGGCGAGAACACGTCAAAAGGACACAGGAACCAGCTTGAAAGGAAACTCGCTTACCAAAGTGAGGACAATTTAAGCATAAAAATAAAAAGTGATAGAAACATATTATAACCCACTGAAAAATTCACAAGTCTACACTCAAATAAATAAACAAGAGAAAAGGAAAGCTCTTATTTACAGTAGACTACAACTAATACATATAGAAGGAATGATGGATATGAAAATCACCGTTGGGCTGGACACGATTGCTCATGGTGTAATCCTAGCACTTTGGGAGGCCGAGGCAGGAGGATCGCTTGAGCCTAGGAGTTCAAGACCAGCCTAGGCAACATAGTGAGACCCCATCTCTACAAAAAATTTAAAAATTAGCTAGGCACGGTGGCATGTGCCTGTAGTTCTGGATGCTATGGAGGTTGAGGCAGGAGGATCGCTTGAGTCCAGGAGATGAAGGCTGCAGTAAGCTATGATCACGCCACTGCATTCCAACCAGCCTGGGTAACAGAGCAAGACCTTGCCTGTAAAAGGAAAACAACAACAACAACGAAACCCACCATTGAGACAGGTGGGAGCTGTCAGTGAGTGCTAGGTCCATTGGAAGGAGTTTTTTTGAGAAACAGGGTTATCAGTGAAATATAAGAAAACCTCTCCACAAACTAATCAATTGCAAAGAAAAAAGTGGTGATTTTTTGTTTTGTTTTGTTTTTTGAGACAGAGTTTTATTCTTGTTGCCCAGGCTGGAGTGCAATGGCATGATTTCAGCTCACTACAACCTCCACCCCCTGGGTTCAATCAATTCTCCTGCCTCTGCCTCCCAAGTAGCTGGGATTACAAGTGCGAGCCATCATGCCTGGCTAATTTTGTTTTGTTTTAAAGACAGAGTTTCACTCTTGTTGCTCAGGCTGGCATGTAATGGTGCAATCTTGGCTCACTACAACCTCTGCCTCCTGTATTCAAGCAATTCTCCTGCCTCAGCCTCCCAAGTAGCTGGGATTACAGGCACGCACCTCCACGCCTGGCTAATTTTGTATTTTTTTTTTTAAGTAGAGACGGGGTTTCTCCATTTTGGTCAGGCTGGTATCGAGCTCCCGACCTCAGGTAATCCATCTGCTTCTACTTCCCAAAGTGCTGGAATTACAGGCGTGAGCCACTGCGCCCAGCCTTTTTTAAAATTTTTAATAGAGACAGGGTTTCGCCATGTCAGCCAGGCTGGTCTCAAACTCCTAAACTCAGGTGATCCATCTGCCTTGGCCTCCCAAAGTGCTAGGATTACAGGCATCAGCCACGGTGCCCGGCCCTAAAAATAGTGAATTTAAGGTAGAGAAAACATCTCCAGGGATGGGCTGACATCATATACCCTGTGATTAAAACAAACAAACAAACAACAACAACAAAAAAGAACAGGAAAAGGAGACATTGTTGGGACAGTTGGCAAAACCGGAAAAGGGTCTGTGGACTGGATGGTAGTACTAAATCCATGTTAATTTCTTGATTTGGCGAGCTGTATGATGATCATAGAACCATATCCTTGTTTGGGAGGAATGCGCACTGGAGTGTTTAGACGAGATACAACCTACCTGCATTCAGCTCTCAAAAGGTTCAGAAAAAGACTATACCTAATATATATCAGGGAGGGGAGAGACTGGGTGATGGAACAAATGCATTAAAATGTTAACAGCTAGGAAATTTGCATGAAGCAGGTATGAGAACTCTTTTATGGTTCTCACAACACTTGGGAAAAAGAAATACAGCAATAATGGGAGCTGAACAATAACAGTTTCTTCACTGTCTCTGCTTTCGCCCTGCACATTACCTTCTATCTCATCAATCTACCTGTGATGTTTACTGTTGCCTGTTCCGAGTCTGGGGGGTTCAAGGCACTGATCTAAGTAAGCAGTTTACGACCAGACTTAGAATCCAAATCCTCAAGTCTAACAGTACAGACCAACATGATGCTGCATTATAATACACTCTGATGAAAGTTACCTACAACCAGCCGGGGGCAGTGGCTCACGCCTGTAATCCCAGCACTTTAGGAGGCCGAAGTGGGCGGATCACGAGGTCAAGAGATCAAGACCATCCTGACCAACATGGTGAAACCCGTCTCTACTAAAAATACAAAAAGTAGCCGGGCGTGGTGGTGCACGCCTGTAGTCCCAGCTACTCGGGAGGCTGAGGCAGGAGAATTGCTTTAACCCAGAAGGCGGAAGTTGGAGTGAGCCGAGATCGCACCACTATATTCCAGCCTGGGTGACAGAGCGAGACTTCATCTCAAAAAAAAAAGAAAGAAAGAAAGAAAGAAAGAAAGAAAGTTATCTATAACTATCAGGTTCATTAAACAAGAAACCACCAGAGGAAGCTTGACTTTGCACTGCCTGTAGTGTCCTCTGATGTTTACTTGGTGGTAAAGATTATATCGCCATTATACACTGACTACTTTTACCTATACCAACAAACCACTTTTCCAACTTCTCCAATTCTCTCTGTGGGACAGACCCAGAAGAGCATGTCAGTTGTTCAATCAGGAGAAAGTGAAAGGTCTCCTCAGCGGGGTTCTTATATACTAAAAAATAAGAATTTTTTTTTTTTTTTTTTTTTTGAGACTGGGTTTTGCTCTATCACCCAGGCTGGAGTGGAGTGGCGCGATCTCAGATGACTGCAACCCCTGCCTCCCAAGTTCAAGAGATCCTCCTGCCTCAGCCTCACAAGTAACTGGGATTAGAGGCACACACCACCACTCCCGGCTAATTTTCTTATTTGTTAGTAGAAATGGGGTTTCACCATGTTGGCTGGGCTGTTCTCGAACTCCTGAGCTCAAGTGATCCACCCGCCTCAGCCTCCCAAAGTGCCGGGATTATACGAGTGAGCCACCACGCCCGGCCAAAAATGACTTTTCTTCTACTAGCTGTATTGCCCCACATTCCTCCTTGCACCTAGATATCGCCATAATATTAAATGCTAAGGCTAGAGTTTATCATACGGAATATTCCTAAAAGGTAAACATAATACTGGTTCACTCACCGTCCCTCTCATTTGAACAGAAAGAGCTTTTATTCAAACTAGTCTTGTGGCCATTTGTGATAGGGCCTTAGTCTTTCCTCTAACAAGTTTGACTTGATTTAAAAAAAAAAATCCTGGGACATTTTCTCCACATTAAGTAGACTGGAAAGGACAAAAAAGATCTAACCTGAAACATGTCTGGCATACATAAGGCACTAAAGCTCTTAATCTGATGAACTAAAGTTAGACACTTTGGGAATAAAAGTACTTTTTAAAAAGAAGTAAATTTTTTTTTCATCAAAGGCTTTTATAAATATATAACCTAGACATAATTCTTTGGGACAATTCTGATGTATCATTAGTTAGACAAGTGAAAAGCAAATCAATCCTCAAGGCCTACTTCCCATCTTCCTGCCCAGAGCACACCACCCCAGGGAACGGAAGCATGCTATAATAAAGCCCAACTCCAAAGAAAGTGGTGGTCAAAAGGTTCCCACGGCCACGTGGCACACAGCTGGGGAATACATCCAAACTGTTCACACTGCCAAGAGAAGAAAACAGAAAAACGCATGTGACGGCCACTTCAACCAGAAGCCCGCAGGGGATACTGGTGAGTCTCCATGCTCCGACCAACTTTACTTCTAAGAGTTTTGGTTTGGACTTTGGAAGAACATTATGCATAAGGGAACTTTCTCAGACAGTCTCATTTACAGTTCAAAGCAAGGAGATACATATCTTAAACACTGTTACATCTGTTCTCCTCTGGTCACATAAGTATCAAGTTCCAGGATCCACAAGATCACCAAACTCACCATATGGCAAAGAAAAGAACCAACCTTCAAGCCTGGGAATGGCCTACACTTGAGACTGGACATCCTTACAGGGCACTCCAGTCAGACCTCAGGGAGGTAAAATAGAAAAATCCACCCCCACATAGACTCACCCTCTATAGTCTTGTTATGAATGACACTAGTCAGATTCCCTGCACCAAGCAGGAAGCAAACCCTGTCATCCCTAAAGGCTATTTTCCTGTAAGAAGGAGCAAATTAACCTTAGATCTTACAACCATAACCTAACCAAAAAACCACATCCACCCACACTTCGTACTCCTACTGGCTTCTCTGTGAGTAACTTCTAAAGACAGAAATGAAAGAAGCTTTAACGGTAAATCTTCATAAATGCACTATGCATTTGAACCATATAAACAAGATGATGCAATTTTTCCATCAAAGAGAAAATAGGCTGATTTTTCTCTACTGTGAGAAAATGGGCAGAACATTTCAACTCTTATTCTTTCTTTTTTGGAGTCTCCCTCTGTCACCAGGCTGGAGTAGTGAGGTGATCTCAGCTCACTGCAACCTCAGCCTCAGGGTTCAAGCGATTCTCCTGCCTCAGCCTCCTGAGTAGCTGGGACTACAGGCACATGCCACCACATCCAGTTAATTTCTGTATTTTTAGTAGAGACGGGGTTTCACCATGTTGGCCAGGATGGTCTCGATCTCTTGACCTCATGATCTGCCCGCCTCTACCTCCCAAAGTGCTGGGATTACAGGTGTGAGCCATGCGCCCAGTCTATTCTTTTTTTTTTTTTTTTAAATGAGACAGAGTCTCTCTCTGTCACCCAGGCTGGAGTGCAATGGCACAATCTCAGCTCACTGCAACCTCCGCCTCCTAGGTTCAGGAGATCCTCCTGCCTCAGCCTCCCATGTAGCTGGGATTACAGGCACCCACCACCACACCCAGATAATTTTTTGTATTTTTAGTAGAGATGGGGTTTTGCCATGTTGGCCAGGCTGGTCTTGAGCTCCTGACATCAGGTGATCCACTCGCCTTGGCCTCCCAAAATGCTGGGATTACAGGCATGAGCCACTGCGCCCAGCCTCAACTCCTATTCTTATCAATGCCATTTAATCTTAAAGTTCACTTTAACTTCCCATATGCCCTACACTTCTACCCACTCAAAGACAACTAATAGTTAAGTAGGGAACCAATTTGTAAAAAATCCTCTCGAGGGGACATGATGAAACACTAATCCTTCTGTCCTTCATAACATCAATTTGGAATTAATAATCTCAGTTAGTTGGACAGAGTGTTCACCAATGTGTATCCTGTGCCTAGTATGGAGTCGGGCATTAAATAAATTTGCTGAGTGAATGAATATTGAGAATTTACTTCCCATATCATGGTGGAGCTCAGGCCTACTTTATTGCATGCAAATCATTCTCTGGAACATGAAAATGATTCTTTGGAGCCAGGTATAGTGGCTCATGCCTGTAATCCCAACTCTTTGGGAGGTCAAGGGTAGCGAATCACCCGAAGTCAGGAGTTTAAGACCAGCCTGACCAACATGGAGAAATCCCGTCTCTACTAAAAATACAAAAACATCGGCTGGGCATGGCGGCACATGCCTGTAATCCCAGCTACTCGAGAGGCTGAGGCAGGAAATCACTTGAACCCAGAAGACGGAGGTCACGGTGAGCCGAGATCACACCATTGCACTCCAGCCTGAGCAACAAGAGAGAAACTCCATCTCAAAAAGAAAGAAAGAAAAGAAAAGAATTCTATGCACTGGCATAGAATGCAACAGCACCTACTATTTCATAGCACAAGAGGGTGACTATAATCAATAATAACTTAATTGTATATTTTAAAATAACTTAAAGAATGTAATTAGATTGTTTGAAACTCAAAGGATAAATGCTTAAGGGGATGGGTACTCCATTCTCCATGACGTGTTTATTTCACATTGCGTGACTGTATCAAAACATCTCAGGTATCCCATAAATATAAACATCTACTATGCACCCACAAAATTTTTTTTTAATTTTAAGAAAAAAGAATGCAAATGCAGCCTCACTAGTTATCTATCAAAAATGCTTATCATTGTTCTTTTTTAGGGGCCCAGAGACTAAAATGTGTGTGAATTTACAAAATCTTTATGTTCTATGGGGCCAAAAATGGCCTTCCGAAGAAAGAATTAAATTGCATTTAATTTCAAAACATCAATCCATTACCCACCAGCTGTGGAAATAATTTAACAGATATTTATTCGCCTATTATGTACAAAGCAGTATGGCAGGCACTACAGGGGGTACAAAATGAGCAAAACACAGTCCTTACCCTTAGGGGTACACAATCTTGTCAGCTGGATAAGACAAACATACCCACAGCTATCACAAAGGAAAAGAAAAGTGCCTCTCCCCTCACCTGGCTTGAGGTTATCTGTGAAAATGGTTCTTTATTCACTTGACCCAGAGAACCCCACAAAATCATGCAAATCAGGAGGTTCAAATCTTTGTGTTCACTTTAAGCATACTGGTGACACTTCTCAGGCCATCAAGGGTATACATATACAAAAAGCCATGAAGTACCTGAAAGAGGTCACTTTACAGAAACAGTGTGTACTATTCCAACATTACAATGGTGGAGTTGGCAGGTGTGCCCAGACCAAGCAGTGAGGCTGGACACAAGGTCAGTGGCCCAAAAAGAATGCTGAATTTTTGCTGTACATGCTTAAAAATGCAGAGCCATGCTGAATTTAAAGGTTTAGATGTAGATTCTCTGGTCATTGAGCATCTCCAAGTGAACAAAGTACCTAGGAAGCACCGCTGGACCTACAGAGCTCATGGTCAGATTAACCCATCCGTGAGCTCTCTCTGTCACACTGAGATGATTCTTACTGAAAAGGAACAAACTGTTCCTAAACCAGAAGAGGAGGTTGCCCCCGAAAAAAAAATATATATCCCAGAAGAAACTGAAGAAACAAAAACTTATGGCACAGGAGTAAATTCAGCATTAAAATAAATGCAATTAAAATTTCTAAAAAAAAATGAAAGAAAAGAAAACAAATAAATAAAAACATTTATTACTCAGATATGAGCAGAGCCTACATATCTGAGTAATAGGTATAAGGTAAAATTCATATTCCCCTTAATTTCCATAACATTTTTTTAGGTTTTATTTTCAAAGGATTGTTTTTGAGAAGCGCATTTACCGCAGGAAGACTCCCTGTTCTCTTAACCTGGTAAAACAGAAAACAGAGGCATGAAGAAAGAAAATAAGAAAGTAGACAGAGCAAAACAAAATACAAAAACCAGATTGGATTTTTCTTTAAATCCATGCCTTCTTTAAAAACTACTTGCAAGGCTGAAGAACTAACCGTGCTGAAATAAGTAATGACTTTTAAGACTAAACTAAACATATTGCAAATTATAACAAGCTTAAAGGCAATAGTATTTTCTCTTTTAAAAGCAGGCAATCTGGGCATGGGGGTTCCCACCTCTAATCCCAGCAGTTTGGGAGGCCAAGGTGGCAAGATTAGCCTGAGGCCAGGAGTTCAAGATTAGCCTGGCCAACACAGTGAAACCCCATCACTACTAAAAAAAAAAAAAAAAAAAAAAAAAAAAAATTAGATGTGGGGGTACATGCCTGCAGTACTAGCTACTTGGGAGGCTGAGGTAGGAGAACCACCTTTATTCAGGAGGCAGAGTTTGCAGTGAGCCAAGATCACATCACTGCACTCTAGCCTGGGCAACAGAGTGAGACTGTCTCAAAAAATAAAATAAAATAACAGCAGGCATATCTGTGCCATGGGAAACAGATTACCCCAGGAAAGGAAGATTAGGAAGGAAAAAGGCTAAAAAGGGAAAGGGTGCAAAGACCCACTGTGGTTGGGAAGCCATTTCCTCCCAGGGAGCGAGACAGCAAGATCAGCAACAAGGGACCGGATACCCTAAACGTCAGGGAGTGGAAACTAGAATAAGAGCCTGGGTAGGTAGTGTCACATTATACTCATTCAATCAGATAGCCTCCCACTGAAGTAAATGATGGTTCCATACAAGCTATGGAGCCTGGGCGATGACTCAGTTGTAACAGAGTCTCTCTACTGCCAGGGTGCATATTGCATGCCCATGGCCAGGTCAAAAAAGGACAAAAGAAGAGCCACAGAAGCAGAATTAGACTGGGAGGCTAGAGACTCAGGCCTGAATCTGCCTCCAGCTCAAAATTGTTCTGTCCCACATTCTCTTTCCGCTCCTTTCATTCTTCTGCCAACTCCATGTTCCAACTTTCTAAATCAATGCTCATCACACACACACACACACACACACACACACCCCACTCAAACAGCCACCTATATTTAGCACTAATTATATGCCTGTGCTTTAGTGCATATTATCTCCAAATGTCACAACTTTGTAAGGCAGGTATTATCACTCCCGTTTTATTTATTTATTGAGATATAATTCAGCCCTTTTAAGTATACAATTCAGTGGTTTTTAGTATGTTCACAAAGTTATACAAGCTTCACCACTATTTAATTCCAGAGCACTCTCATCTCCCCCCCAAAAAATCCCATACCCATTAGCAGTCACCAATCATTTCCTCATTTTCTTCTCCCGACATACCCTAGCAAACACTAATCTACTTTCTATTGCTATGAATTTGCCTATTTTGGATAATTCATATTGATGGAATGATACAGTATGTGGCATTGTGGATTACTACCATTTTATATATGAAGAACCCAAGATTCAAATAGGTCAAGTAACTTGCCCCTAGTCACAGTTAAAAAGAGAATGCATTAGAATAGGAATCCAGGTTTCACTCGAATGCTATGCTTGCTTTTGACCACCGTATGCTGCCTCCATACAGGAATAAAATTAAGAAAGAAAGAGCGAGTTTTGGACATTCTTGGAAAAATGGGATTTTGTTAATCTAAGACATTACCTTTGAATAGATTACCTAAGTAATAAGAACCAAAACTATAGCACTATCTTTACTGAGTTTATGTTGAAATGCACTGGCAACTCAATAGACGATGGCAAACTACCGCAGCGCACACCCATCCCAGTCTCATCACTGCTGTCACTGTGCTTCACCCCACAATCCCAGCTTCTCCCCACCCCTCAGCCGCACAAAAATGACAGCTCTATAAAATGAAGCTCTAAAGAATCTCCTCTCTCTCATTTTTTTATCCCTTCTCCAAATGTCACTCTGCCACTTAAACTTTGTTATCATACAGATTTCTGAGATGACCAAGGAAAATGCCTATTTATATTTTATTATTTTTTTTTGAGACAGAGTCTCACTCTACCATCCAGGCTTAAGTGCAGTGGCATGATCTCAGCTCACTGCAACCTCTGCTTCCTGGGTTCAAGCAATTCTCCTGCCTCAGCCTCCTGAGTAGCTGGGATTACAGGTGCGCACCACCATGCCCAGCTAATTTTTATATTTTAGTAGAGACGATGTTTCATCATGCTGACCAGGCTGGTCTTGAACTGCTGACCTCAGGTGATCCTCGGCCCCCCCACCTCAGCCTCCCTAACTGCTGGGATTACAG